CCCCCCCCCCAAGCTCCAGGGATAGATCCTGTTCTCTTAGACGGAACTCTGCTGCCCTGAGGCTGCCAGCTGCCCTCCTCAAGCCAATTTCTTGTCGTGAGCTCTACCCCATACTCCAGACCACTGTCCTACTCTGCAGATTTAAAAGGCCCCTGTACCTAGCCCAGCCTTTGGCAAGGAACCCCACTCAAGATTCCTGCACAATCTTAGCCCAAGACTCCTCCTCAGATGGTCCTGTCCTGCCTTAGATACTCAAACAAAGTACCCTTCCCTTCCCTCTCCATGTTCTCACATTACCGTGGCTTACCTTCCTCGCATCATCCAACGCTGCTCTGGAATTATCCTTCTCGTTGACCTGCAAGGTCTACTGAGGCAGGCAACACATGTGTCTAGTTGACTTGTCTTTCAGGCCCTCTCCCTCTCTCCCTGTACTTGCTCACTGATCTCTGGTGCACGGAGATAACTATGTTATAGGGCACTGTGTCCTTACTATGTGTGACTGAACACTCAGTGGGAACAAGCTAAGGAACTTCTTTTGCACACCGTTTCCAAAGGTTCCACACTCTGGCAGGAAGATGGGATGCAGCAGAGCTGTCTACTCTGGGCATCCATGCAGGAGCGGCGCAGAACAAGAGGGAGCTAGGACAAGACACAGCCCGAAGACAAGCCCCGGGGAGCCACTTCCTCCAAATAGTCCCCACCTTCCACAGTTGTACCACCTTCCAACACTCTGAATTTTGAATCCACCAATCCGTTAAGCCATTGATTAGGTCGGAGGGCTTCAAAACACCTAAGCTGACATGCAGGTGTGTGTGTTGCCAATCTTAGAACATCGTGTCTCTCAACCCACAATCCAGACTAACAACCATGGGGTTCCAGAGGGGGAAGAAGACTACAGCAGGCCGTCCTGCCTATGAGATCAGACTTTCGAGGCAGCTGCAGAGCAATGTACATGGCTTTCTCTGCAAAGCTCTTCACAGACAAGCCTTTTGTGATGACAATGACACCTGAACCCTGTGGGAAGTGGGCATGAGGAAAAGATACTGGTTGGAAGGCAGCCTGTGTGCCTTGTAATGCTGTGTCAGCCACGGTAGGAACTCAGCATCCCGAGAAACTCAAGAGTTTGAAAGACATGTGTCTGTGTATTAGTTAGGAACAGGACTGATTGAATACACACACACACACATACACACACACCACATATGTATAAATATGCACATATAAATGTTGCGCTCATTTTTAAACTCTATTTTATTTGGGGTATTTATGCCTCTATCTCCCTTCTACCAACCCTTTAACTTTAGATAAGAGAGAGAAGGTTAGTGGAGAGAGGGGTTGCAGACCCCTCTACTTCTCCCAGCTGTTTAGGGTCAGTGGGTTCTTTTGGGGCTATACTAATCTCTGTCAAAAGCAAAGGCAGCAAGCAGTCTCCTCCAAGCCACCACACTGCCCATCTCTGGTCTCTCCAAACTGCCTCATACAGTCTCTTTCTGGACTTTCGTATTTAAACCCCTAGAGTCCTTGACCACACCCCTCTACATGCTGCATGAGGCAGGCCCTTACCAGCTGGCAAAGACTATTCACCACCGGAGACAAATACCAGCTGTGGACAAACTAAAGCCCAAACTAAAATTCCACACTTGGGATTAAAACAAAAACATATTTATATAACATACCGAGTTTTTAAAGAAACCAAACTTCTATTACATATAAATATATCATATGTAGATCTGACACACATACATAAACACACACATATAAGTCTGACACACAGGTATTACAGGCACACATGTGCATGTGTGTGTGTGTGTATTAGACTGGTTTACAGGATGAAGGCCAGGAAGTCCAATGAGGGCTGTCTAGTGCTGGAAAAAAACAAAAATTCAGCCCAAGGCTGTCTCAATCTGGAGCTGAAGGCCTGGAGAATTTCTGGAGAGCTTTTGGCCTTCAGTATACATTGGAATCCCAACAAAGTTGGTTTTCATAGCGATAAAGAAATGCCATGGCAGCAGGATAGATGGACTCGCCAGCAGGAGTTAGGGCAAGCAGGCTGGCATCAAAGTCCCCTCTTGCACACCCTGTGTGCTGGCACCAGAGGGTACAGCGCAGATTTAGTGTAGATCTTTCTAATCAGACAATCTGGTCAGGAAAATCCCTCATAGGAGCGCCCAGCAGCTGAGATTTTAGTTGATCACAGATGCAGTCAAGCCGACAGCCAAGGCACAAAATCACAATGTGCACACAGAGGGAAGAGCTCTAGCAGGGCAGACTTCCTGTGTTTGCCCCTCCTACCCTGAGAAGGGGGTGGAAGGCACAGCCCGGGCCTGCACATGTGCAGACAGCCTGGGAGCTCACAAGTGCCAAGCTTGGCTCAGCCCCGTCGCTAAGAGGACTTGTTCCATGTGAGTGAGGTTCTAGGCTGCTGCTCAGGGGACAGGTCTCTTCAGAGGGAAGCTGGCAGGGCATGGTGGCCCTGATCCGGCCATGGGAGGGCTGTGAGAGTCCTAGGCACAGATGTGAGGGGGGACACTGGCACCCGGGCACCTGGAACAGGCCTTCTGGGTCAGCCTCCTGTTAGGTTCCTCCAATGTTGTGGGATACAGGTAGCTTATGAGGGAGGCAAACCTAAAAAGTGTAAGTGTGGCAAGACACCAAAACGATGAAGGCATGGCTTGTCAGTGAACTGGTAAATCCCGGGCTCCTGGGCCTAACCACATGATCGACTCTGGCACTGTGAAGGCATCTGCGGCTCGTTGCTTTTGAGCACAGGGAATCTGGACTGTTTGTCCACTGACGGCTGAAGTCAGCCCCTAACATCGCTGGCAGCATACCTAAGCAGGCTCCCTCTGGGTCAAAGGCCTCTCTGCCTTAAAGGATCCATCTCATAGATCCATGGGGTCACTCACAGAGGCCATGGAGACCCAGGGTAAGTGTCAGTAGACTGTCAGGAGTCATCCGGGTCGCAGGCTGTCATGCCGTAGCGCACACTGTGAGTGGACAGCTGCAGCTCTAGATGTGGCCACTGTGTGCCTCCCAGGTAGTTCTGTGTCTTAAGGGTCATGATCAGCCACAAGGCCAGTCAACCCTCCCCATCTCCCCATCAGGGCCTCCTTCAAGGCCAGGTGTTTGAACATTTGCTCCCCACCCATTGGCACTGTTTTGGGAGGTAGTGGAATCTTTTGGACATGGAGTCTTGTTAGAGGATAAGGGAGAGGGTTCTAGGCCAGCTCAGCTTTCAGCCTGGTGTCTTAGGACCACCAGTCACTGTTACTCCTGCTGGGACAGCCACAAGCCTCAGTCTTCATACCTTCTCGGCACGATGAATTATTCCCCTGAGCTGTGAGCTGAGATAAAGCCTCCTTTACACTGTTTCTGTAGGGTTTACTTTCACAACAAAGAGATAAGAAACCAATTTCCAGGTTGAAGAATCTGCCATGTTGATAATCTTCACTGGTTTTCTTTTTTTTTTTTTTTATTCAAATGCACTATATGGCCCCAAGAGCAATATCTCATTTCATCCTCACAGGTACCCTAAGCAGGAATGCCACAGGTCCCACTTTATAGCTGGGGAAAGTGGGGCACCAGAAGCTGTGGGACTGCTCCCCACGGGACAGTTTTCTAACCCACAGGGAGAAGACCCACCCTGAATCCCAGTGTTTGCCTTGGCTCTGGGCCACCAACAGCTGTCATCCTTGGCCCTGATCCAGTGCCATGCAACCTGTGTCTGCAGAGGGCTCATGCCACAGTCTTCCCCTTTGTGCCCTCTAGAATGTGACCCCCTTCTTAGAGAAGATGGAGATGGAACCTGGATCTGTGGTGAGGTGCCCTGGGCAACCACCAGCACAGGACAATATATCAGACCAAGGTGAGTCAAGCCTGTGGAAGTGCCACCAGGCCACACATAAGGACGTCTGCTCTCTAAGAACTCAGCCAGGCTTGTCAGAAGCTCGTGAACCTTTGCAGCCCTGATCTCAGGACTATTTGGCTGAGGTTATGTGTACATCGTTACAGTTCTTCCTCTTCGTCTCTGCTGACTCCTTCGTTGGAAGGATCGGGTCTCAGGGGAGTCGCCACGGACAGCTGGCATCCACACACTGGCCAAAACGCAGTACTGTCATATGTGGCTTTATTGTAATAGCTTTGTATAGACAGAGTCTGGGCTTCATTTCCCCAAATCAGCAGGAAATACTTGGTTATAAATTAATGGCCTAAGTACAAATTGTTCTGGACAAATATGGTGAAAGGTCAGAAACCACAAAATGGCTAGCAACAGCAAAGGTCAATGAGCAGTTGGCAAGAAGTAAGTCTGGGCTGTTGATGAAACTAACACCAACATGTCCTTGTTGGTCAAGCTCAGAAACCCAACAAAGGAAGCATGGCAAAGCTGCACTGACCAGGAATATGGCAGGCTGGCCTTCTAGGATTTCCCAGAATGGGGCACGTGGGCTCTGGCTTGCTTGACAGAGAGGAAAATGCTGGGAGAGTGGCCAATAGGCTATAACCAGATCCTGTGTCATTCAGTATTCCATTGATTAAAAAAAAAAAATTCCCCAGGTTAAGTAATGATTAGGTAAAAGAGTTTATTTAGCTTACAGTTTAGAGGCTGATAGTCTACCATGAGCCAGTCCCATTGGTTTGGTCTCTGTTGAAGGCCTCACGCTATCACAGCAGAAGTACATGTGAGGGGGCAATTTTATAGTGAGACGGGAGTCCAGAGACCTGAGAGAGATCGGCATTGCTCTTTTATAAGAGCCCTCTCTCCAGAGCACTAAGTGAGCAAACCCTCCAAAGACAGCATTACTGAGGATCTACTTGTTTTGCACCAGGGGCTCACTTCTTAATGATTCTGCGACCCTCTCGACCCTCCGATATGACCACACTGAGGCCAACACTTCCTGTATGTTAACCTTTTGTGGACAAAATACCTGAGAACCATGGCAAGCGACATATCATATTCTGGACCCAGCTAGGGAGGTACATATTCCTCTCACCTTTCATTCCAGGCTTGGTGCCAAATTTCATTGTTTCCTGAACAAGGCAATAGACATTTTTTAGAGTCTTGAGCAAGACATCTTGAAACCATCATTGGTTACCCCTAAACTCCTGGAAGTGGCTCAACTGGGGAGCAGGCTGGTCTTCTAGGATTTGGTCAGGGGTCAAATATTGAGTGGCCATTTTCTGGCCTGTGACCTTGAACTCGTATTGAAACCCCTCAGATACAAAGGAAGGCAAAATCTCCCAGAATAGCTATGCTTCTAGCAATTCTAAATACATGGGCAGGTAGGGCTAGAAGATCCAAGACGCTTGATTTGGGGCCTTAGGTAACTTTCCCTTGCCTGAAAAATCACCAACCCACTCATAGCTATCCCTTCTTGAGCAGAAATTTAGCCATTTCTGACTATACCCTCCCTACATCTTTGTTCTAGTTTGTTTTCTGTTGCTGAGGTAAACACCACAACCAAAAACAACTTAGGGAAAAAGGGTTTTACCTCAGCTCACAGGTTGCAATCCCACATTGAGAGAAACCAGGGCATGGAGTACAAGCGAGGAACCTGAAGGCGGTAACTGAAGCAGAGGCCGTGGAGGATGCCATGGAGGAGGGCTGCTTACTGGCTTGCTCCCTTTGGCTTGCCTAGCCTGCCCTCTTCCGTATATTCACCTGCCTAAGGATGACACTGTCCACCATGCGCTAGACCTACCTCCAACAATTAACAGTTTAGAAAATGCCTCACGTATAGGCCACAGGTCAGTCTGATCAAGGCAATTGTTCAGTTGAGGTCCTCTCTTCCCAGGTGTTTCTAGTTTTCTATCAAGTTGGCAGCCAAAGCTAACCGTGCGCAGGCTTTCCGATGGTCTTTCACTGTTTGCTGCTTACTTACATCACAAGCCTGCTTTTATACATAGCTGTTTGGTTGCTTCATCTCCTGTTTTTAGTCTGTGTCTCCAAGCTGTCACTAAGCTCTTGTGGGTGGACAAGTTTTATGTCTGCTGTTCATTCATGTATAACTATCCAGTGTCAGGCAAACGATGGATGGATGAATGGATGGATGGGCAGACAGACGGATGGATGGGAAAGGATAAATGCATGATAATTGCTGTGATGGGCAGAATGGATGGAAGAGGATGGTTGAATGAATAGAAGTTCAAATGGATAAGGATGGATGGATGGATGGATGGATGGATGGATGGATGGATGGATGGTTAAGGATGCATAGATGGATGGGTAAGGATGATGGATAGATAAGAATGGATGAATGGAGAAGGCTGGGTGAATGGATGAAAGGTTGTTGTGAAGAGCAAGTAGGAGAGCATGAATGAACCACTTTGGAAATATGATACATCATGGTAAAGTCCTAATGCCAGGCATCGTGATGGAGCTCTATTTGCACCATTACCTCTGTGCTCTCAGTTCTGCCTCACAGATGCTGCTATGTGAAAGAAGAATTCAGGTGCTGCTGAGGCTGAGCTCACAGAACTGGTACAGAGCGGGTTCCAAGCCAGGTGAGTCAGGCTGAATGTCTCTATTCTACCCCAAACTATCATGAAAAAAAGCATGTAGTGAAGCCTTTGTGTTTAGAGACCAGTGTGTGCAGCCACACGCCCTTCAGTGAAGGGGCCCATGGTGACCCTCATGGCATTTTATCTTCTTTCCAGAGCCGTCCCTGCCTTCTTTCTCACTGTCAGCTGCCCCTCGCTGCTGCCATTAAAGACTCTTCATTTAACACTGATTCATCTCTAAGGAGGCACATCTAATTACCTCCAATACAAAACTAATTCTCACTAAAATTAGGCAGGAGGTGGGAGTCGAGGGTATCTCAGCAAGAAAGGATGATTGTGAGTTAGTTACAGTCTCCGCTGATTTCTCTGGGGGGGCTTTGAAAAATTCTTTTTAATTTAAGGAAGTAAATTCAGAAAATAGAAATTTGGGGAGTAGGCAGTGTCTGGATGAACAAGTTTTTTTTTTTATGTGTGTGAATATTTTGTCTGCATATATGTATGGGCACTATGTGCATGTGTAGTTTCTGCAAAGTGCAGAGGAGACCATTAGATGCCCTGGAACTGTTTTTAAATATATCCTGTAACCACAACATAGGTGCTGAGGACTAAACCCAGGTCCTCTGCAAAAGCAATACGTGCTCTTAAGCACTGAACTGTCTATCTATCCTATGTCCTATAGGATTCTTAGAAGAACCACACAGGTAATAAATATGCAAGTACATTAGGAGAAACACAGCAATTTGAAGAAAAATCTTGTGTTGGTTAATTATCCCTCTGCTGTGAAAGAAGACCTGAGGGAAACAACTTAAGAGAAGAGGGGTTTATTTGGACTCACCACACTCACCAGCCAGTGTGGTGGGGAGGGCAGCTGGGAGGCTCTGTGTGGGTGTTTCTGAGCTGGTGTATTCCCATCTTGGTAAACAAAGAATGTCATCTTCAAGGCCTACGCCCAGTGATCTACCCCTGCTGGTTAGACCACAGACTCAGAGTCCCCACAACCTCCAGAAACAGTGCCACCAGCCAGGGACCAGGCACAGAAGCCTGTAGGAGACATTTCACACTTCACGCTTTAACATTCTGCACAGGGCTGGAGAATAGCTCAGCAGTTAAGAGCGCTTAACTCTCTGCTCTTGCAGAGAACCAGACACCCATGTTGGGTGGCTCACAATCACCTGCTCCCGCTCTGGGAGATCCAACACCCTTTTCTGGCCTCCTCGGTTGCTACATTGAAATGCACACATATGCCCACATGCACACGCCCACACACACACACACACACACACACACACACACACACAAATAAAAATGTTTTACAGAAGAACATGTACACCACTAACTGCTTTAACTTTTATAGAAGCTCTATGAAGCCAACACAAGTTTCCTCATAGTTATTTATTTAATCACCATACAGCCCTGTGCAACAAGTACCAAGAGGCCTACAGTGTAGAAATGAATGCCCATTTGAAGAGTGTCAGCACTTGACCCTGGATGCCATGATTCTGTGTTTCCTCTCCATAATGCACAGCTCTCATGCATTCATGGACATTGGATAACAAGCCCTTCAGCTCTGCACCTGGGACCGTTGCACACAGCTCAAACATCATCCAGAAAGGAAATAAAAAAAGAAAAAAGAAAAAGCACAACCAAAAAAAATAAAAAATAAATAAATAAAAAGCACAACCACTTAGCACTAACTGAGCTTCAAAGGACCCTGTGGGCCAGTACAGGAACAGGAAGGAGGGCAAAGTGCCACCTTACTTGATTCTGCTAGGAATGTGCACATTGAGCAACCCAAGGCTCTCGCTGATATTTGTACACCTACAAATGATGGTGTGTACTTATTTGAGGGTTACAAATATGTGCTCATGAATTGGTAAATAACAGGAGATCAAAAAAAAAAAAAAAAAAAAAAAAAAAAAAACCTGTGATATCACACTGAATTGGCGTAAGCCCTAATCCCAGAATGAGGGTGCCCTGTGGTGACAGAACTGAATGGGGAGAGAAACCTGCCTACGAAAGAGGTTAGACACAGCCTGTCACATGTTAACAGAAAGGACTCTGTTGCTCGGGGCCAGTCAGATGGGACTCCTGGCTTGGGCAGCCCTAGAAACTGACACAGAACACACAGGCACCAGGACCAAGAGTCATGGGAATCCAGAGAATCCCTTCCTAATGGCTCCTCCTGGAGCCCTACAGCCTCAACAATCGGAGAGAGTCTGCCAGAGATTTGGGGAAGAAGGATGTGTTTGGTGAGATATTAATCAGAGCCTCGGGACACAGGTTACCTGTGGCCACCTCCCAGTTCCAGGAAGCTGAACTCTTCACACATCCAGGTAAACATTGGCACAGGGCTGCCCACACCTCTTCCCAGGCTCTGCTCATACCTGAGTTACATCTCTCTGATTCCAAGAAGATGGAGTTTTCCTGTTTCCCAAAGCCTCCGTAACATAAAAAGATTATTTGCCTGAAGTGGATATGAAGCCAAACACTCCTATATCTGGACTGGAGTGGCAGGCATTTCTGATGCCATTTCTGGGCTCCCCTAAGACCTTTCGCATGCTGTTGCTACACCTCTGCCCTAAGGATGGCAGCCAGAAGGCCCATTTGCAGAGGAGAGATGGCTGCATACCCTCAGTTTACTCTAAACTTGGATTTTGTCAGATCCCCTGGATTTGCCTACTTCAGAGCCTGTCAGTAGGTGAGCAAGATGCCTACATCCTGCTAAATGTCTCTGTAGTTTGAGGGGACAGAGATCCCAGAAAAGGGAGAGGTGGTATGACTACCAGAGAATAACCCAGTGAGTCAGGGGACCGTCTTCCAGGAACCCAAACCCTGTTCTAAAGGGGAAGTCCATCTAGGGAGGTTTCTCCTCCACAACTCTCCCTAGATCCACAAGGTGGCAGTCTAGGGAGGATACAGAAATGCTAAGCCAAGATCACATGCAGTACTGAAAAGCAAAGAGGGTGGCTGCTGGGGTGTACCTCCAGCTTGCTACAGGCCTGTGGCCTCTTTAGCTTTGTCTGCTTTCAGTCCCGTGCCACATGCAAAAGACTTGACCAGACTCAGCCTCTGAGTCTTTCAGTTCTTCTCCCAATGAGAATCCAGACCCTAGGAAATAAGTGAGGACTCCTCAGGGTGACAGAACAAGAGACCACAGCAACAGAACGAAATCACAGCTCTGTAGATACACCAGAGTTGGAAATGTGAATATGCAAGAGGCCAAGAGACCCTAGAAAAAGGCCACTACCCAGGCAACAAACTGAGGCCACATGTGGGGAGAAACTTGAAAAGCAGAACAAGGGGAAGACAGGGAACTCCAACTGGAGTGTGACCCTGTTGTGAGTCTCACTAGGGGTGACTCTTTGCTCCTCTCAGCCCTGTGTCAGTAGAGGATGTTCAGTTTGTCAAGGTGTCTTGGGGGAATTAGAACCTGCAGATCCTGCATGGGAACAGTGCTGTGTGGCCTGGTTCTCTCCTAATATTCACTGCCCCTGGGGAAAGGCTCCTTTGCCATTAGCCCTTTCTTTCAGACTCCTGAACGCTCCCTTCAGGTGCCACATCCAATGTGACCTCTTCAAATTCATAATGTGTATGAAATAAGCAGGAAGCAGCTCAAGGGGAGTCATTCATTAAGCAAGGGCAAAACAGGCCCCAATCAAGGGCATAGCAGGAACCATAAAACAGAAAACGGAAGAAAGAGCTGCCGAATCTTTTTATTTAATGTTAACTACTTTATGTTTTTTCACCTGAGTTCTGAGAATGCTTGCTTCCCACCCAACCCAAAGTCAGTTGTCCCTGACAAGTGTTAGCTGGGCATGGTGGCACACGCTTGTAATCCAGCACTTCAGGACGCAGAGGCAGGTGGAGCTCTGTGAGTTCAAGGTCAACCTGGTCTACAAAGTGAGTCCAGGACAGCCAAGGCTACATAGAGAAACCCTGCCTCAAGGAAAAAAAAAAAAAAAAAAGACAAGTGTTTAGGAGTAAGGATGCTAGGAGCCATCCATCAGTCCTGCTGGGCTGTGACCAATGCTGGCATGCCCTTCATCTGGGAAGAAGTAAAACTAAGGGATGTGTAGACTGCTCAATTACATTTCCATTTGGGGGGGTCCTTTGCTCTCTACTGTGTCATATGATAGAGACAGATAAAGTACAGGACCCCATTTTGTAGATGGGCAAAGTATGGATGATGCCCAGCTTGAGGCTCTTTCTGACTCCCCCATACCTTCCCAGAAGCAGGGACTGGGGTTCTGTGTCTTTAAAGGGCAGCTGCTTCTTGCAGATGAGGCCTCTGCCCCCAAGGCTGCTGGTTTGTCCTAAGTGGAAGACTTGGAGTTTGGCAGATATTGCCCTTTGTGGGGCTGTGCCTCCCGCCGGTCACGAAGCCCATTGTCTCTATCCAGCTGAGGAAATAGCGAGGCTCCACCAAGAGCTGATTAGCTCGCGGCTCCCTGCAAAGGTGGCAGGGCCCAGATCGGTGTGGATACGCCTCCTGTGTCATTTGCACAGCATGGGAGAACTATAATCCAAAGGTACAATTCAGAAGCTTGTCTCCCCAGAACCAAGATGAGGAAAAGGCTGGAGATGATAATCAAAGCTGACACAAATTACCTGGTGTTTGCTGGAGCAGAATGAAGCAGAGGGAGCTCCGGGGCAAATTAGGTTGGCCCCATCTCCACAGTGCTGAGGCTGGCTTGGTGGATGGGAGCCTGAGCAGGGGAGGCACTCTAGTGAACTTGGTTTGGACACCATTTGGAAACTCTATGACATCAGACATTTATTTGCATAGAAGTCCCAATGAATGACTGTAGCCAAATCCCCTGGGAACCTTCTAAACTGCAGATAACTGGCTCTTGCCCTCTGCATTTGCAATTGATAGAATCCAGGCTGCCACCAGGGCAGCCATATTGGCTGGCACCAGGCATGATTGTGGTGCAAAGCTTGCTGGGAAATCACTATTCATTTGGCAGTTCCCTCTGCTTCACAGAGGAAGAAATTGATCTCAGGACAGAAAGGGTCTGAGCCAGTATCCTCATGAGTGCTGGAAATGAGTCTTTCAACTACCCCTTTATTCTTCCCTTGTTTTTCCCTCCTTTACTCTTCCTTCTTTGACTCACCTATTCACTCAGCAAACATTTGTTGAGAAATGCTTTGTGCCAAGTGCTAGGGTAGGTATCAAAACATCCTTAATCTTCCCCAGTGGGAGAGGTAGGTTCTAATCAAATAACTACACCCATAAATAGACAATTACAGCTCTGACCAGGAGAGACCACACCAAACACTGTTTAGGGGGACTTGACATCGCAAGGCCGGCACTAAGTGTCTTCATCTCTGAAAAGGACTCCACTTGCTCTGCTTCCCTTCCCACCCATAAAGGTAACTCACACAGGATATTAACAAGGAATGGACTTTTGTAAACATAAAAGCAAATTCTCCAAATGCTGGGCTTAGCCTCACTCTGATAAGCATTCAATAAATGTTGTCGAATTGAATTGCTGAATTGAATTATGCTACCAAAATAAAGCAAGGATTAGCAACAATTCCCAGCACTAAGAACAGTATTCATTCAATTTCTCTGTCTGTGCAGAGAAGACCCAGACTGGGTTTGCCAGATCTAAGAATGTAAGAGCTGGGAGGATTCTAGGTAACAGCTGGTCATACCAGCTTAACAGGATGCAAAGCCAAGGCCCAGAGAAGAGAAAAATTGTTTAACATCATATATGGAAAAGTGTCAGAGCCAGAGTGATTGAAACGATGGTGAAGAGGAAGGAGGGTTCATCTTGGACCCACTAAGCTAAAGGCTGCTCTCCATGTGGAAAGTCCTAAGGATGGAGACATCTTCCAGCTCTTAATTAAACATCTGTTATCAGGTCCATCCCCAAGTCCCAGACTCTTCCACATCCTGCACCAAAATATCTGTGTACAATAGATATTGACTCCTTCCTCCATTTTATGTTCTGGAAAAGCCCCCACATCTGTCTTTGGTGAGCCCCTCTCTCCCATTCTCGGCCCATGAGGTTCGGGAATGGAAGAATGTAGCCACTTCCAGAGAACACAGTCACATGTCTCAGGATGAGCCAATCAACTCATCCAGCTTCCTGGCCGCCATGGGTGACTCAGGGAAGAACATGAGATTCAAAGGTGACCCAATGTCCGATGACTTAAGGGTAGAATATATCTTTTATGTCTTATTGATGAAATATGTCTCATTGGTGGAGCCTGGGCCATGTGACCACACTTCAAAGGAAGCTGAGAACATGAACATATGCCATTTTCCATTCCTATAGTGGAAAATAGGAAGGAGTTCCAAACACAGATTGGCCCAACAAATAAGTGTTTCTGCCGTCTTGGGAGAGCTTCCAACATTGTGCAAAATGCAATATTTAAGAGATTATGCCAGGAACTTGATAGGCCCCACTAGTGGCGAAAACTCTTGTTTCTGCTCTAAGACTGAAGTCCCAAAAAAGCGCTTTTCCAGGTCATGCAGCAAGGACATGTTGGAGTCCTGTACTTCAAAGCCCAGGATCACATGACAGATTTGAATGTATTAAGGACCTACCTGGAAGCAACATTGGAATTCAAATGAACCTGGAGTCTTTGGAGGTGTAATACTGAGGGAGGGTCTCTCAAGACTTGATCCTAAGAAAGAGATCCAATAATGAGGATCCTGATCAAGGACG